TTATTTTATTTTTAAAATATCTTTATTGATTTCAGAGAGGAAAGGAGAGGGAGAGAGATAGAAACATCCATGATGAGAGAGTCACTGATCGGCTGCCCCCTGCTGGGGATGGAGCCCAAAACCCAGGCATGTGCCCTGACAGGGAATCGAACCTCGATCTCCTGGATCTTAGGTCGATGCTCAGTCGCTGAGCCATGCCAGCCCGGGCCCTGTTTTCCTTTTGCCATTGCCAGTTACTCCTTCATTCAAAAGATGCCCCAATGATTTATTTCACTGTTTAAGGTAGCAGCTGATTTTGCTAAAGTTTCACCCAATCCTGATAAATGCTATATTGGGGTAAAGGAGAGAAGACCTAGAATCTCTTTCTGAGGGACATGGATTCTGCATGGATGGTTAGGGCTCTGAAATGCTGATATATGAGATGAGATTTGAAGGTTATGGATGGTGGGCCAGGGGACAGATAGGGAACCGGGGCTCTCAGGACAAGAAAAAATACACAAGTACCTGGGATGGGCATGGAGCTTGGGAGAAAGTGGAAATTCAGCATGCTCGGGTCCTGTGTCCTGTGGGGCATAGGTAGAGATGAGATTGGGAAGGCAGAGAAGGACCACCTGTCTCGAGGGCCTAATGTGTATGGACTTTATCCTGGAGGTGATAGGGAACTGTTAATATTTAAACAGGGCATCTGTAATGTTAAATTACTTTGCTTGTAAAATTAAGGGTGAGATGGTATCAGACTATAGCAGTGGAAATGGTTAAGGAAAGTATTCACATGGTTAGATTAAAAGACCAGAGGATAGCCCGGCCGGGCGTGGCTCAGCGGTTGAGCATCAAGCTAGGATCCAGGAGATTAAGGTTCGATTCCCGGTCAGCGCACAGGCCCGGGTTGCGGGCTCCATCCCCAGCAGGAGGCGTGCAGGAGGCAGCTGATCAAGGACTTTCCCATCATTGATGTTTCTATCTTTCTCTTTCCCTTCCTCTCTCTGAAATCAATAAAGACATAATAAAAAATAAAGACCAGAGGATAATTGT